ACAGCTGAGGGGAAGTGGGGGAGCTCAAGGAGAACTGGGTGCCAGCTGGCCTGGCCAGTCCCACAGTGGTTTTGAATGAGCCTGTGGGGCCTTGGGGATTCTCCGATGACCTCTCAAGGACTTGTTGCTTGGAGCCTGGCTTAATAAACCTCTTCTCTTCTGGCAACTGAAGCAGATTCCCTAAAGCTGACAGGTCTCAAAAGTTATTTTGAAATTATGGTGCTGGTTGCATTGGTGCATTTCCATTCCTAATGGGAATAGAGGCGTTTTGCTCCTTTTTTTTTTTTTTTTTTTTTTTTTAAAGGAAAGGCCATGCAAATGCTGCCTTTTCATCCTCCTCTCATTTTTTTTTCAAAGCTTTTAGCTTAGACTGATTTAATGGCCACCATTATAAGTGCTGCAAATTTGACTCCTGACCCCTGTTTAGACAGTAAGCACTTACAAGTGCTGAAGATCTCTAGGTTTCTTTCTGACATTGGTTTTACCAATGCTGAAGATACTCCAAATAGCAGGGATAAGATAGTGTTTGAAAAAACAGGCTGGCACCTTTTTCTCAGGAGCGGTTTCAGTGGGATTTAGTTTTTCTAAAAGCCTTTGTGAATCTGGGTCTGAAAGGACTTGAAGGTAGGTCAGAAAGGCAAGGAATTTTCCAGGTTTTTTAAAATTAAATGTACTGCTGTAGCACATACCTGGAGATCAAAGTCTTATTTCAACCGTATAAGGCAATTTTAGCTGCAGAAGAGAAGGTTTCTTTTTAAAGCAGGAAAAGGTGGAGAAAGTGGTATCCAAAGTGCATTTGATTTGATTTCTACTACTAATGTGTCCCTTTGCTGCAGCTGCAGACTCTATAAAGCATTTAATCTGCAACCTCTTCAGAGATTTCCTCTGTTAGTGGCTCTTCTCAGAGCAAGGTAGTTTCCTGAGTATTCCTGCAGGTCTGGATGTTGTGACCTAACTGACACTAAGAAGCTCAGTTTTCTAGAATGAGTCCATTTTCTCTGCGAGTTGAGCTATCATGAGGTAGGGTGAAATATATCCCCTGTGTCTCTGAGGCTTGTAAGCCCTGCAGCAGCAGAAGGCAGTGGGGAATGTGATGAACTTTCGTTGGAGGTTTTGTTTTCCCCTGAATACCCTTCATATCTGGCTGCTGAACAGAGCCACCAAGCAGCCCTGACACTTCTTCGCTGCTCAATGCCTGTCTCATCTCTGAGCTGTGTAGCAGTTTGCAAAGGCAGATTAATATTTAATATACCTGGTGGCTTTGATCTTTCAGTTGAAGTCTGGTTACGTCTAACACCTCATAAAATACAACCAGAGAAGGTGATGCTGCCTTTTTATCCATTAATGCAGAGACTGGAGCACCTTCCTAATTTCATTTCCTTCTTCCATCTCAGGCCATTTCATTCCCTTCTCCTACTCATCTGTCGAGAATCCTTATCACCAGGCTGCTGGGTGCTCATACTGAAACTGCCTAATTTTCAGGCTTTCAGCTCAGTATCTGAACCACTTGGTTTGAAAGCTTCTTTGATCTTCTGGATCCCAAAGTGCCTCACCTACAAAGAAAAGGTGCGACACCTTGCCTAAGATGTCCTGCAGGCTGATGGCCAGGTGCTCTCCTGGGCTGTGGGGGGGGGGAGTTGCAGGCCATGGCAGGCAGGACCCACATCTGTTTGCTCAGCCTGCAGCATGGCTGTCATCCAGGATGGTCCCACTCCATATCCCTCTAAAGTGGCTGCTGCTGAGGGTTAAACACCTACATTCAGGTGTCTGGAAGAAACTTCCAGTCTCTGCCACATCCTCCTTGCTGACTGAGGCAATGGCAACTCAGTGCTTTGCCATGTAGGGAGTGTTGGTCACCAACTTGGCATTGTGAAGCCTGACTATTCAAATGCTTGGCCCTTTGAAGGGAAGCTCTGGAGAAACACCCTTCTTCTCAACCTTTCCTCTTGCTTAGTTTTTGTTCCCTCTTTTACTTGCTGACTGTTGTGGATCATGGACTTGACATCACTAGGACCATCTGCTGTGGATACCGTGGGGTCCTCTAGGCTGCAGAGCACACTGAGGCACAGTGCCTTGTGTCCTGGGGTTATGAACCTCCTTTTGGGGAGGTGTGGCCAGATTCAAGCTTAATATATGTGAAGCAATTTGTTTGTTATGCACGTGAGGATGTGAGGGGGAAGAGTGCTATCACAAAGATCTGATACTTCAAAACTATATTAAGACTGTGATTGAGTAGTTTGTATGATCTTAGAAAATATCTGTGAGGTGGCCAGTGGTCTGACTGGTTTCTGGCAGTCAGGGCTGGCTCTGCATAGGCAAGGGAGGCAGCAGCCCAAGAAAGCAGAGGACAGTAATACAGAAAATGTTTTCTTGTTAGTTTCATCCATCAGAGCCCCTGGGGATCTGGCCTGGTTGCTGCTTCTCCATGGCAGAAGAAGCTTCACATCCAAATTTCCATTACTCTTCCCTTTTCCATCTAACTATTGCTGTTCTCTAGATCCACCCGTGTGATGTACCTTCTCCTCCAGGTCCGATTCCTCATACTTGGGGTGGCAAAATTCAGTTTTACCTGCACTCTTGTAAGTCTTGAGTGATGTTGTTGCAATTGTGACAAAACTTAATGTGGCCTAAATATTTGAGCAGCCCATGCTGAGGTTTGTACTTCTGTGGACTTGTGTGTTCCTAGCAATAACTCCGCTGGATATTTTAAAACTGACTTGTATATGAGCTGCAGTCATCTTAGTTGTGTCAGCAGAAGCAAAATTTGGGGAGCTGAGCACTCTTGAAGGGGGAAAAAAGAAAATACCATAAGCATCTGTATATGAGAGAGTATTGTCCCTCCAGAACCTGCACACTCAACTATGAGAGGGAACTTTTGTAAATGACGTTAATGCTTAGCAGTCTGACAGGAATGTGATAAGGGCACAAAATGCATCTCTACTAAGATTGTCTATATTGTGATATACTAGACTAAAAGGTAATAGGAAATTAAGACAGAGGCCCTGAAAATAAAGTTGTTACATTTCAGCTTAGTGGAAGCTTCCTTTTTTTTCATCCATACACTCCTGGGTCTTCCTTCTGCTTGGCAAAGCTTGTGTATGAAGTAGTTCAGGGCTGTCCAGTTCCAGGACTGTGACATGTTGTGGCTGTGAAAATGCCTGGATCATCTCTGTTTCTCCCTTGTTCCATGAGAGGATTACCCAGTACCAATGACTTTCCCTAGGGTTTTCTGCCTCACTGTAGCCCATTAGACTATGACTGTATCAAGTGATCCCCTGACCCAGGATCTCTTCCCGTGTCCAAACGTACACCGCATGTTTTTCAGGCGTGGTCTTCCTGCTGTGCCTTTCTCTCCATTGGAAGGAAAGATGGGGAAGAGATTTGAGTCAAAAGGAACTTAGCATACTGTAGTCTGTGCCCCAAATCTGGATGATAAGTGAGAACTGGGAGTGTGCTGTGGAACATTCCTGCCCTGCAGTATAGATGGTGAAGCAAGGGTGCTGTGAGGCAGAGCAATCTCCCCCATAACTCATGCCATGCCCTTCCTGCGTGAGGAGGCAGACAAAATCTGCTCCCATCTCACCTGCCCTGCTGCAGTCTCCTAGTTTTATCTCCTGGAGGATAATGGAAGCACATACTGGACAACAATTCAGAGAGGTAATTTATTACCCCAACTCCAAAGTAATCTATGTAGTCTTTCTGCAAAGACATTTATTAAATGTATCAGAGTTGATGGTAGAATTTAAAATTAGAGCAAGGCTTTTTAGTACTATAAGCAAAACTGAATTTTGTAGCATGCAGAGGGATGTCTGCCCATCTTGCTCCATCGCTTATGTTTGGTGTCTTCTTCACCCTGAAGCTCCTTATTCTTCTGTCCCTGCTGAAGCACACTTATTCCTTCAGGTCATCACCAAAATAATAGAACCACCCTCCTAGACTCCCAGCATGTTAAGACACAGACCCACATACTGGCTCCACACTTGTGCCTAATCCTACTTGGCTTATTTTTGAAGGAAATCAGGGAGTGGAGAGTAATATAACCCAGTCTTCTTCACCTAGATGTAAAATGCACATGTCTGTATTGTGGCTATAAAAGATGATATACAGGTACTTTCTCTTGAAACGCTGATATAACTTTCAGCTTGTTTGTGTAGTATAGAGCCTTTGCAAAAGAAGGACTGGAGAAACATCTCAAAAGTACATAAATAACATTTTCTTTAAATTTCTACAGACCCTCTAAATACCGGCTTTTGATGGTCTTTTCACACAAACTCAATTTCTGTACTGTTGTTTTCTGAGAGATCTCTTCAAAGCCTAATATCAGCAGGCCATTTCACTTGTAGGCTTAGACAAGGGTAGTTTCAGAGGTGAATCTTTTCAGGATTTATTGAAGGCTCTGATGTAACTTCATTGCATGATATAGTGAAGTATTATCTCCCACTCTCAATGAGTTACATGAGGGCTATTGCATCAGACAATTTGCTGGGCACAATTTCACTGCTCAGGTAGATGGGAAGTGAAATTTCAGGCCCTTAAGTTGGTCTCATTGTCTTCTGAATTGCTTCTTTAGAGCAGCATGCACTCTTTCTAAGCCACAACATAGTACTAACATTTTTCGATGCATGCCCATGTACTAGATTTTCTCCTCCAACTCCCTGCCTCCAGTGAGAAATTGTGAACATAGAATTGTTCACAATGCCTATTACTATCATCGCCTAATCCCCCTCTTCACTAAATTTCTTCTGAGCTTGATTTTACCCAGTCTAACACCAAAACAAACTGCTAAATGCCCTGCTGCGTATTTCATGTATGCCTGTGGAACATACAACCTGCTCGGAGGAAGTACACGTGTCCTTCTCATGCTCTGTGGGTTATAGCACGCAGAAATATATCGCATTTGTGGTAGGATGCTGCATATGTTCAGAAACTGTTGAAAGTCTTTGGAATTCTTATAACTGTTTATTCATTCTTTTGTTTAGGAGTCAGTGACCTGTAAGTGCTCATTATGAAGAGAGATCTGGTTTTCTTGGTGACTCTAATTAGCCTTGCCTTCCTGTCACTGCTAAGGTCTGGATATCCTCAACATATTGCAGAGGAGTCCTGCTCTGTTCAAATTCTTGTTCCAGGCCTCAAAGGTAATGTGGAAGTCTACTCCATCCTTCAAATACTAATTGTTTCTTTCTAACAGGCTCATTTGCACCACTGTTCGTAACAGAGACAAAGAAGGTGCCTTTCAGTTATCCTCTCATTTGTCCAGTTTCTAGCCTCCTTAAAAATGCAGTTTTAAGGTTCATAAGATGAACTTAAGTATGTTAAAATGAACACGGTTCAGGGAACGCATAGCAAGGTCTCCCAAACTTGCTCCTGATCTATAGAGCTTGTTACTCGGATGGGCTGCCTGGTTGCTTTGTCTGTGTTTATACTTGTGAATGGTGCACATACCCAAAGACTGTAAAATCAGGCTCTGCTTTGTATCTGGAGAGGTTTTCATTGCCATTTTGTGATGTACTAATGCGAAGTATTTTGTATTTTCTAGTCTTCTGCTTATCTTCCCTTGATTTTTAAATGTTCAAGTGCCTTTTAGAAGAAATAAAAAATTAGTTAGATTTTTGGCATTTCTATACTTTCTGTTGACAAAAGCAACATTTTTACAAATTATGGCCCCAAACTTTCAGTTTGGATGGAATAATAAATTATTGATATTTTAGAGGTAAAAAATGTATTAAAGTGCCTTAGATAGGAAATCAACAGCTGGGAAGAATTAGCATTTTAAAGCAACAGAATCCATTATAATGTGAAATCCTAGCCCTGTTTAGTCAATAACAGTAACTCTTGTTATGGAGGCAATGATATTTCTAATGGAGCGTAACACCTGTAAGCATGGGGAAATACCTGTTAACTAAGACAAAATAACCCATGAAAACTATCAGTTTATCATTAATGATAAAAAAATGCATTGTTTAAGATTGCATAACTAACTTGCCAATTTTTCTGATAGTTATGCATTGTAGTATCATAAAACTCTCTTAACAGTATTGATGCCACTAACATTATCTAGTGCAAACCTGGGCTTTACCCAGTTGCCTGGGGACCGTAGTATGGACTGCGGGCTCTGTGCTGGTTAACCGATTGGTGAGGGCAAGGCTCAGTTCTGTCCTGCAGTTGTTTATACAGTTAAATTGCGAGCACAGCCTGGCCACAGGTTTGGCTGTGGTGTAAACTGCCCTCTCCAGACATTGCCCGGTTTGGATGTGGCTGCCCTGTGCTGGAAGCAAGCGAATTTGACTCTAGGGATGTAGGTTGTGCTTGGCCAACTGGCTTCAGAACCAAAAAAGCTCTCCTGTATTGTTTGTTATTAATAATATACAATCTATTAATAACAGATGCAGCTTTAGATGCCTGAACTGAACCAAAATCTACATTTCTTAATTTTACTTCAGTAAGTGGCCTTTGAAGTCTTAATAGTCTTTACACCTTCTGCAGATGCTCTAGTTAGAAAGAACACTATATCCAGGTCTTCTGAAGTTTGACTAAGCCTTGAGTAAAGTTATTTCATTTGTTTGATTTTTTTGCTGTGAAATAGGCATAAGATAGTGCTGTTGATGTAACAAGGACACAATCAAGTTAAATATATGTTGTCTAAAGTTATACAGAAGATCAGTCAAAGGGTCTGACCCCACAGCACTGGGGACTGAAGCTTTGAGATGATTTTTCATTTCAAAGAAGTTGACAGGCTTTGACAAGTTTTGTAACTTCTTTGCCTTAGTTTCCTTATTTGTGTAATCAGTCAAAATTAACATCTGTGATTACCATTTTTATGAAAGGACTGTTATTATTATATGCAGCAGAGTTTTTTAAATGTATAAACAGTGCAGGACCCTGGCCCTTTGTCAGAAGGCAATCCTGAGCCAGGAAACAACAGAGGCCTGAAACCCATCATGCGTTAATGATTTCACTCTGCTTCATGAGATGTAAGCCTTGCGAAAGTGAGAGAGATTGATGTACAAATTCAGTGAAGCACAAAATGGCCTGATACAGCCTTAGTTAATGTGAAATCCCTAAAAAGTTATCAATGCTCCAGCTATGCTGTCAGGGGGACTGGCTCAGAGAATTCGTAATGAGATTCTGCTGTCCTCCACTGGCACAACTCCAGCCCATTTTGGTGGTCAAGGCTTCCTTTAAACTGAGCATATATGTGGCCACGTGCCCAAATTTCAGCTCCCACGCAGTGAGATTTGCTCCCTGCGGCTTTCAGGTCTGCCCCATCTCCTCCTCTGCTGGGCTGCTGGCAACATCTCCAGTGCTGGAGGAATAGAGCCCTGCAGCACTGCTGGGCATGAGCCTGACAGGATTTGGGAAAAATAGGTACAGGGAAGAAGTGGAGGAAATGATGGAGACCATTTGATATGTGGAAGGGAAAAAATAGGAGGAGAGAGTTAAGCCTAAGAGGTGGTGCAGAAAGTGGAGCCCAAATAGGGTGGTGAAGGAGAAAGGCAGCAGGGAAACATACCCACAAGTGGGGGAGCATAATGGAGAAATTTTAGAAGAAAAGGAAGAAGTGAAAAGAGAAAAGAAGAGCACAAAGAATGAAACTGAGTGGAGAGACTAGAAACTAAAAAAAAAAAAAAAAGACACAAAGCCAATTAGAACCCCACAGAATAAAAGGGGGAATTGGAAGTGGGATGAGAATGGAGGTGGAAATGGAAGATGAAGAAAGCCAGTAAAGGCACCAAGAATAGAAAAAGGCACAAATGAGTTTAAGGTCAACAGCTTAGGTCTTAGGGACTGTTTTTTGGGGTTTTTTTTATAACCTCAACAGATAAACGAGTAAGATGAAATGTGGAAGGGAAAAATACTGTGGCTCTGAGAATCCAGACAGCAGACTGATCCATGTTTTAGAAAGCCATCAGTATTAATAATAGGAAAAGTATGTTGTGTGTGAGGAAGGGATGGATGATGAAGCCTCACTACACTGCTCGTATTCTCCCTAAAGTCCTATTCCTACTGATAGGCACATGAGATTGAAGTTAATACTACTGTGGAGAATAAAATAACATGGAACAATCCTTCAAAGCTTAAATTTTCAGTTTGCCACCTTGTTTTATCTCCCTTCTAGAATCTAAAGCAGGAATAGCCTCAATAGTCTCAATGGCATAAAAGACATTAAAATGTTGATGCTACATAAATAAAATAAAACCAATTTTTTTACACCCTCACTTCATGCACCTACTCACACATGAATGAGAGCAATGGAAGAAAGTTATCAGCAGCCATGAGTGCTTAATAGCTCACGTAGGTAATATTTGGCATGCTGTTTTCATTACGGTAGATGGTACAGCTCAAGGTAGGTCGGTTGCAAACATAATCAGAGACAAATCCTGTCCCAAAGAATTTGCAAAAGGAAGTAAATTGACAGCAATGGTAAGATATATTGTTTGAATTATGAAAAATCTCTCTCAGAGGTGACAGGACAAGAAGCTTGTAGTATTGTCAGGATTGCGCCTGATACCTGTGATCCTGCTGCAGCTCAGGTAGGTACTAGGGCTAAATCAAAAGTTAAAAATTAGTGTCAATTGGTAATAAATCAAATTGATTGAAATTCCTTGTCAGAAAACTGTTTTGTTGCCCACAACACCTGCACAGGCTTTGCTTCCTCAGCTTGCACAGTGCTCAGCGTACATAGAGCAAATCCAGGGACATGGCAAAGCTGAACTGGACCACCGATCAGTCCCTCTTGGCCAAGGTCTTGCCATTTAAAACAGCTGATAAAAAATGCAGAGTGGTCTGTAGCTGGGCCTGTAATGGGGTAATGTCCTCCCAGGGAAAGTTTCTTAAACACCCACGCTAAGGAATGCAGAGTCATCTTATTATGGGAATAAACGCAGGCAAGTGTAATGGCCTGAAGCAGGAGTGATCTATTTTATTGATCCCTAATGCACAGCTTTCACTCTGAAGAACGTGTAAAGCAATAGGCTGTAATAGCCTGTTCTCAGCCTCCAGAGAGCAGGAAAAAGTCATTGTCAGGATTTATCTTTGGGAAGCAAAGAACTCATAATCAGCCCTGAGGGGGAGAGGCAATCATACAAAGCCTGTTGGTTACCTGATAATAAAAAAAGTGACATTCCCAAATGTGCCAAATAATAGCCTGTTTCATACTAACAATATTATTCACTGGGGATTATGTGAAGTTTGTCCTCATTAAGGTCAGAGAATGGCCTATTTTTGCATGTCTGAAGGCAGGGAGGATGGTCTAGAGCCTACTGGCAGCCTGAAGAAGGAAAATATAACAGATGGAGGCCTGAGTTCAGCTCACAGCAACCTATGTCTGCAATAAGGAGAGAGAGCTGGAGGCTGCATATTTGAAAAATACCATGTTTCGGCTTGTTTTTACGTGTCATCTCTGTGGTCGCTCTCTGAACCACAGCTGCCAGCTATGCCAGAGAGCAGAGCTTGAGGGGTAGGTGGTAACAGTTGACTTTCTGCTATGGTGCTCCCTTCAGCTTCCTGGAGAGCAGCTGATGCTTGCTCTCTGTAGAAATACAGTGTTAGGGCATCAGCTGTGTTGTGCTGGCTCTGGCTTTTAGATGCTGGCATTTTCCTATCCATGGAAGTCATAGAACTTTCTTCTCCTTCATATAAATCTTTTTTACAAAGGTGGCTATGTAAATCATTATTTAAATTTCTGTTTAAGAGACTTTAATTTATATCAATGGCAAACTACAATAGTAGAGGGTGAAACAAGGTAAGCATCCCCAAATTTCCAGTGAAAAGCACCAAGGAGGCTAACATTTACAGAAACTGATGTTTATATGTGCTGCATATAATAATGCACCATGATCCATGTGCATTTAAGTACAATGCACAGTGGTTCGTACCACAGAGATTAAAAGGCATAGTATATAACTGAGAATATAGATTAGAAGATACTCTTTCATGCTTAAAAATGATCCTCTAAATAAGAGATGTAGCAATGCCTTCCTATAGGCCTGATCCATCTTTACTCCATAAATGGCATAAACTTCTTTCATTTCCCTCGTCTTTCCCTCCACAGAGATTAAAAGGCATAGTATATAACTGAGAATATAGATTAGAAGATACTCTTTCATGCTTAAAAATGATCCTCTAAATAAGAGATGTAGCAATGCCTTCCTATAGGCCTGATCCATCTTTACTCCATAAATGGCATAAACTTCTTTCATTTCCCTCGTCTTTCCCTCGTCTTTCCCTCGTCTTTCCCTCGTCTTTCCCTCGTCTTTCCCTCGTCTTTCCCTTTTTTTATTTTCTAGATTATAGTTAAGCCATTTTCACTTGAGACTTAAGCATGCCCTTAGCAGATACTCAGGAAGTGTTTGGTGAACACAGGTCCCAGAAGTTTATGTGCTAAGTTGGGGCCTAATTCTGGAGCTTCTACTTGAGTGGATTGTGCCGTTGGGCTTTTTGGAGATTAAAGATATGAGTAACATCCACGAAACTAGACCCATTGCATGAGACTTCAGTAAAGTATTGACTGGTTTTGTCAGTGTCTATGCCAGTGGCAGGAAACTGTTTTCCATGCATCAAGCAAAGCTGTTGAGTCAGATTCTATCTGCTTTTATTTTTTTCTTCCTGTTATTATAGCAGGTTTTCCTTTTCAGTGGGGAGAATGGCACTCTTGTCACTGCTACCAACAGAAAATAGTCCTGGTTTAATATGATTCTTTTTGTTTCCTTTTGTATCAACAGGGGAGGCTGGAGAAAAGGGGGAGAAAGGTGCTCCAGGTCGTCCAGGCAGAGTTGGGCCTCCAGGAGAAAAAGGTAACTTCATTAAAGAAGACATTTTAAAAGTAATTCCTGACCAAACACTGCCTTTTCTTGTAAGGTGGTGATGGTAGGGATCTTTTCTCCTTTTGCTGGGTGACTAAGTCATCCTTGGGCATTTTTGTGTACTGTTGTTGTGGTTTAACCATGATAGGCAGCTCAGCCCCACCCAGCCACTCACTCACCCTGCCCCTGAGAGAATCAGAAACGTAAAAGTGAGAAAACCCATGGGTTGAGAGAAAGACAGTTTAATAGGTAAAGCAAAAGCCACATGAGCAAGCAAAGCAAAACAAGGAATTCATTCACTGCTTCCCATTGGCAGGCAGGTGTTCAGCCATCCCCAGGAAAGCTGGGCTCCATCTTGTGTAATGATGACTTGGGAAGACAAACACTATCACTACCAAAGTCTTCTTCATTCTTCTTCCTCAGCTTTATATGCTGAGCATGACATCATGTGGTCTGGGATATCCCTTTGGTCAGTTGTGGTCAGCTGTCCCTGCTGTGTCCCCTTCCAACTTATTTTGCACTCCCAGCCTCCTTGCTGGTGGGTTGGTGTGAGGAGCAGAAAAGACCTTGACTGTGTGTAAGCACTGCTCAGTAATAACGAAAACATCCCGGTGTTATCAATGCTGTTTTAATCACAAATCCAAAATATAGCGCTATAGCAGCTACTATGAAGAAAATTAATTCTATCCTAGCCAAAACCGGTACAACGATATGCACTTATTTGTAGACTAACTATTGCTTTCTGGTCAAAAATATTCATTTAAAAAAAAAAAATCTATTTTTTTAGAAAGGTTTCCATGAAGAAAGACATTGTAATAACTTTTTCATAATTTGCCTTCTACAAATGCAAACGCCATATTAGATCAGAGGGAAAAAATCATTAGGCTCAATTTCCTTGTTTCTTTTTGTCTGGAAATTCTGTCTTTTCATATTTTTTTTTCTCCTGAAGCAAGGAGGAAATTTGACCTTCATAAGTTTTCCAGGAGATGCACATTCTGAAAAATTCACATTAGGTGTAGTAAAAAACTTTTATTTCAATATTGAAATTAAACATTTGACATTCCTGTTGTCAGAGTGATGAGAGTTAGTTTTCACTAAGCTGAATTTACAAACTTCCTTTCAAAGCAATCACAGTGGTAATTTATACTTCCTTATGATGATGCATGATCCGTTATGTAGTTCTTTTGGGCAATTATGGGAGACTGATACCTGCAATTTTCCCTGTGACTGAAATCCATAGCTAGAGCTCTTCCCCCTACAATGCACTGAAAAATCTCTAATTCCCCTGAGGGGTGTGTGTTCAGTCAGTGTATTTCCTTTATGGAGATGCAGATGCACCCTTCAAGGACAACTTTTACAAAAAATATTGGAAACTAAAATTTCAACTCTTGCAAGGTGATGCAGCGTGAAGAAAAGTCAAAGTACAACAGAATAATTTAGGTTAAAAGGTTATAAAGAGCTCTGGAGGCTGAGTCCAATCTTCTGCTTAAAACAGGGCAGACTTCAAATTTAGATCAGGTTGCTCAGGATCTTGTCCAGTAGACTTTTGAAAATCTCCAAGGATGGTGATTCCACATCCTTTTTGAGATGTCTGTTCTCTAGTGTCATTGTGAAAAACCTTTTCCTTAGGACCAACTGATTTTTTTTCTTGTTGTAACTTGTGATTGTTGCCTCTTGTCCTTTTGGCATGTGTCTCTGAGAAGAGAGGGCTGCATCTTCTCTACAAATCAATTTTAGGTAGTGGAACACTGCAATTAGGTCCCCTGTCTTACCTTTCTCTACTCCAGACTAAAAAACCATCTTCCTCAGCTGGACTCCAGTTTGCTTTTGTTTGAGGGACTAAAAATCTCTGGGCTCTTTTATGCAAAAGCGTTTTTTAGCCAGCTATTGGTCAGCCTTCATCATTGCATCACAGGTGAGGAACTTCATGTCTGGCTGAGCTCATGGTATTCCTATCAACACATTCCTGTAGTTTGTCGTGCTCGTCCTGACTGGCAGCACTGCTCTCCAGTGCACCAACCACTCCTGCCAGCATGGAGTTTCTTGCAGACTCACAGAGGGCTTTCACTTCTTCCTTCCTGTCACTGATGAAGGACTGGTTCCTGAGGAATGTCACTCATTATCAGCTGCTAAGACCAGCAGCCTTGCAACAGCATCAGCTAGCCCTCTCAGCACCTTTGAATGCCTTCTGGCCAGTGCCATGGACCTGTGTACATACAGGTGAAGTACTCCCTAACTCAGTCATCCTCTACCATGAGTAGCATGTCCTCCCCAGATCTTTGCTACCAGACATGAGAAACTTGGAGGCCAGAGAGCAGACCTTGCCAGTAGAGACCAAGGCAAAGAAAGCACTAAGTACCTTAGCCTCTCCTCTGTCCTTTTTCATTAGGTTGCCTTCTTTCTGAGCAGGGTGCCCATGTTATCCTTGGTCTCTTTTTTACTGCTGCCTTACCTGTAGTCTTTCATGTTGTCCTTCCTACACCTAGCCAAATTCAACTCCAGCTGAACTTTGGCCTTCCTCGTTTCATCCCTGCATGCCTGGAGAATGCTTCTGTATTACCCTTTGGTAGCCTGTCCCAGTATCCACATTCTGCATGCTTCCGTTCTGCGTTTAGTCTTGGTCAACAGTTCCCTGTCCAGCTGAGCTAGCCTTCTGCCATATCTGCTCATTTTCCTGCACATTGCAATGGATAGTTCTTATGCTTTAAGGAAATTCTTCCTAAAGATTAAGGAGCTCTTTCTGGGCCCCTTTGCACTTCATAGTGGCCTCCAGTAGGATCCTGCCTAGCTGTTCCAAGAACAAGTCAAAGTCCAGAAGTCTAGAGCTTTTATCCTGCTGCTTGACTTCCTCACTTCCCGCGGGATCTTGAACACTGTCATCTCATGAAGGTAGTCATGGTCACTGCAGCCAAGGCTGCTGCTGACTGTCATATCCACAACCAGAGAGTGTGTGAATGACAGGTCTAGGAGACTACCATCTCATGCATAAATACTTTTTTAGACTCTGAAGATGCATGAAAGTGACTCAACTTTATATTCTCTTCCATAAGCCCAAGAGTTTTCCTGTTTGTTATCCAGAAGCTGGAACTTTGAGGCAAAAATAAAATATAACAATATTATTGGAGGATTGGACTAGATGATCTTTTGAGGTCCCTTCCAATCCCTAACATTCTGTGATTCCGTGATTGGGAAAAATCATGTGAGCCACTGACACTGAGATATCCAACATGTATCTTTTTCCTACTTAGTTGTTCATTTTATTTATGGAGGATTAAGAACTGAGCATCCTTTGGAGGTTGATAATTTGTTCACTGTGTTGTTCTCGGAAATAACCAGTTTGTCACATTTTTCCTGGACAGATTATCTAGTATCTATTCATGACCTACTATTGGCTTTGCTTTTTTGCTCTGGTTTTGTTCTCTTGATGGGCATAGACCACTGATGTCCTTTAAAGTCCTCAGCTGGTGTAAAGCTTAGACCTGTGATCCAGGTACATAGCACATAACTTTGTGGGTAATGAAAGATGAATAAAATTGTTGTGTCACTTTGCTCTTTCTAAGAGCACACATGTATGGTTGCAGCAGCTCTGTTTCTGTACAGTAGCCTGTTAAACTGCAATCACTGTGTTAGCATGTGTTTGACCTCCTGTGTTTCTGTTGGAGCCTGATAATTGTTGTCCTGTTGGGCTAATATTTGGCTTCTTCTGTTGATGGAAACTTCTAAATTTCAGTGTATTTTTGTGCTTTTTGAGTGATGGTTTACATGAGAGAGAACTGTAATTCTTCTGAAACATTTGTAGATTTTTCTGGTTTTGCTGTTAATTTACATTATCAGAATCACAATAATTTTTTTTTAATTTCCCCTTTCTTTGTTTAATTTCTCAGGCAAGTTCATCTTAAGAAAATGTGCTTACTTTCTTTGAATTCCTTAAGTATATAATAATCAGTGAATGAATAACATACAAAAGAAGTGGCTTTCTTATGTTATATTTGAACAAAAATCTTAAGATTAAAAAGTGCTGCAAATGTTTTTATCATATCCTTCCTCATGATATTTTCAGATTCTGGTAGTTCAGAAACTGATACATACTAAAACTTTCTGGTGCTTACCAGAAATAAATCTGGTTCTGAGTGTCCTGATGTTTCAGGGTGACATCAGACATCCTGATGTCTTTGGGCACTGATTAAGGTTAAATTCCACTTCCTTTCCTCATTGCTTTTAATTAATTGTGTAGGTCAATTATAGCATGTCAGCAGAATGTAAAACTGTGTTGGCCTTATGCAAAACATAGAGTGCTCAATCAGGTAAAATGGCTGATTCAGTCAAAAGTAGAGTGTACTTCAGTGCAAGTTTTGGGGTGTGAAGTTAATAGATGTAACTTTCCCCACTTGCCCTGATTGCTGTTCTGTGCACTTCCATGTTGGGAATGAACTCAATTATTTGACTGAGTCATGATCCTATCTCTGAAGCTGAAACTTCCAAGTATACAAATTCGACAGAGATATTTCAACAACAATATAATACTGTGAATATTCCCAGAGTAGCATGTATTCTGCTTATGGCAATCAAAATAAGGAGGAGAGGGTGAATTTACTGGTGGAATGCATAATCAAAGGCACAGAATGTTAAAAATGTATTCTTCAAGACCTTTTATGTTGCAAAAGGGACTCTAGCAACCTGATCTAGTTGAAGATGTCCCTGCTCATTGCGTGGGGCTTGGACTAGATGACCTTTAAAGGTCCCTTCCAAACCAAACCATTCTATGGTTTTTCTTAGAGCCATAACCATTTGAAAAGGTATTATTTTAGTATTTTAATTTCAGTCTTGATGCATCTTGCTTCATTTATACTGGTATGTGTGAAGCAGAGTCACACACTACTCTTGGGCATGGAGCTTGACTGTGTCTCTCTACATTTGCAGTGTTAGCAGAGTCCCTGGCACAGTTTCAGCTTGTGCCAGTGAACACTTTCCCAGACAATTCTTGGGTGCATTTTGGGAGCTAACACAATGAACAGCTTGCAAGTGATTTTCCTGGTTTGAAGAGTAAGACAATTTAATATCGTGGAGTGTACCACTCTTGGCCACCTGGTTCCACTGCCAGGGAACAGTCACAGGCATTTAGTTTACTATTACAGACGTAGCCTCTTAAGTATGAGAGAAGACTCATTAATTTAACTGGATTGGAGCCAGAGTGCTCAGTCATTTGTATAATCAAATTCTAAAGAGAGGTAATAATATCTTAATTCATATTTTAGTATTACTGATTGTTCATTAATATGTAGTCAATCAATCCTTTACATTTCTGAGTCAACTTTTACATGAATTTATGGCTCACTAAGGAGTGCTGCAGGCAGGATTCCATGTAAAAGTCCTGACATTGACAGTTGTGGATTCACAAAGTGGGTATCTGGTTCAAAACTGTCTTTTAGTTGCACCTGAACTCAAATTTTGAGAAAATTCATGCTAAACTGAGTGGGCACAAAGATGGCAGATGAGCTTCAGTGTGAATAAATATATTGCCTAGGGACATTAGGAATGCATAATTTAATCCATACTTACATCATACCAAAAACCAGAACTGTCCCTTAAAACTCGAGAACTACTCTGAAATCATTAGCAGCAGCCGCAAAGCCAACAAAATACTGCCCATCATCAGAAAAGATACCAAGGACAAAACAGGAAGCTCATTTTTGCAGTTAATTTTGCTCTGTATAAGCTTGGCATGCACCTGACGTGAGTGTGTTTCTGCTGGATTTGTCTTTTTGACATCTTTCTCTTTTTTTACGTAGTTTTATACATTCTTCTCTGTTCCAATTAATCTTGTCTCAAGAGATTGGCCATACTGTATGAAGATTTCCATTTATAGAGTTAAACAGAACCAAAGCCCTCATTTTTTCACTGGTTCACCATTCATCTCTGGCATTTTATTTCTTCTCTTGTTTGTGGGCCTGAAAAGGACACCAAGAAGATAATTTAGAGTTTCCTTCTCTTCAATTCCTTCCAAAATCCTTTAAGTCTTCTATAATCGGTTCCAGCATATACCACCTTCATCTGAGAGATGACAGATGACTTGCTTCATATTCTCCATCAAACTTTCTGTTAGATTTCCTACTTTTGGTCTATGGAGACTTAATTTCTTTCCAGCTCTCACTTCCTGATTTCATTAAGACTCTGTAGACTGCATTTTTGGCAATCACAGTGCCAGTAAGAAGGACTTTACATTAAAACTTTCATTAAAACTTTTTAAACCCTCAAGGCAGATGGGTCTCTCTTAAAACCTTGTGATTTATCTGCAGAAGAAGCAGAATAAGCAAGCCCCTGGAGTAGAAGCAGGGTTAGTCACTGTAAGAAAAAACCAAATCCAAACAGTTCTTTTAATGAGCACAGGAGACTTAATGTATGTCTTCATTGTTAGAGATAACACACTTTTACTTCTGAGCAAATCACATGTCTTTACTTGGCTATTACTGAGTAGTTGTTCGTTTTCTGGGCGGTATTTATGAGAAAGAAAGTAAAGTCTTTTTATATATTATATTTTATTTATACGTTAGATCTATGTGTTTATTTAATTTCAGGTGTAGCAGCCTGAAAAGAGAAAACATTCAAACCTCTGACAATCTGTTAGATTCATAGAAATCCTGATTTGTTGATATCCCAAGCAAAAAAGGTCATTTTCAGAGCAACTTGATAAACTCATTGCAAGCTGATACTTCAGAGATTTTCAAGGAAATACCCTCTCAACATATTGTCTGTATTGATTAAATATCCAATGTTAGCATCAGTACCTTTATAACCTGCACAGCCTAATGGATTTAATCTTTAAGGCAAGACATGTATCTGTTCTGGAAGTGAAGCTGTATTCCAGAAAGTAGGTCTTCAGCTGG